ACCCCAGTCAGCTCCCCAGTTCGGCGCACCGGTCGTTTTGCCATCACAAAAGTGGCGGAGTCAGCAGGATCTGGCAGTGGCACTCCTGTAGGTTCAGGCCCTGGCCTTGCTGGGTCTCAAGCACACTTGCCTGCGCATGCAGATTCTCTGGTACTTAATGTTTTTAATACATTTCCATAGTTTTTGAATTATTTTTTCACCAAAGAAATATGACATGGGTTTTTAGATATGGGTGTTTCAAGGACACACCTGAAAAAAATTAATGCTTTTCCTTTTGTAAAATTAGTTTACAACACATTGTCCTCTAAATGTTCTAGGGAGGGACACCTTCAGACCCCCCCTCTGCCGGGCCCTCAGCCCCTCCATCCATGACCTCCTCCTTTGTCTCTGAGGACACATCAGCTACAACACCTGCCACACCCGCTGCTGATGGAGATGCCTTTAGTCAACAGCCTTCAGTAACAAATGACTCTAGCGAGGACCACATACCAACTCTGGGGGATAGTCAAGGCAGTGTAGTATGTATCAGAGTGCAAAATTTGCTTTTGATGATGAGATTGTAATTGGCCAATTAAAGAATAGATTGCTCTTACATATTAAGATGATGATTGTTGCTCATGTCTGTCATGCATTACTCAAAAAAATCACAAGAGCATCTCTGATGTAAGTGTGCAGCTTAAGTGATTTGATTACATTAATGCTGTATGAAATCCTTATCTTTACAGTCTTATATGTTTTACTTCTGTTTAGTAGAATTGTTATTCCCCAGTGTTTCACCTCATGAGAGCAATTTTGGTTTTGATTTTTTATGCATGATTGTATGTCCAGTACATTTTCCATTGCATGAATCATTTTTTTTGGTTAACATGCATGCTTGTTAAGTATTATTAATTTTTGAACAATTCTAGTCCGAAAAGCTACGAACATTGTTGAAATTTACACTAAGAGTTGTTTTGCTTTCTATAGGTTGTTACTAGACCCCCTGGCGATAGCTGGCAGCCCCAGTCCCAGCCCTCACCTTCCTACCCCGACCCCCAGCAGGCATGTGGGGCACAGGGCATTGCTGTCCCTCCCCACCCAACCCCTCCGCTTTCACAGGCTTCCCCCAAACCCCCCATTTCACAGACTCCCACCAGGGATAGCCACAGCTTACCCAGACCCAAAACAAGCAGTCATTCTGCAAAGATGGAGACATTCAGAAAGACCAGGAGCCTGAAACTAGACATTCCTGAGACTCCACCTTCCAGTAGCACAAACACACCAGACCTCTGTTTCAAAGAGGCCCCTCCAATATGCATCACTCCTGCAGTTTCTAGTGACCATACTTCATCTTACTTGAAAGAAAAGCCATCAAGCGTTGGTTATGAGAGGCAGTCTGATAAGAAAAAAGTACCTTTGCCCAAGACGCCAAATATTGTTAAGAGCAAATCTGGTCCATGGAAGTTTTCAGCAAGTACATCTTATGATGCAGACACTGAGGAGCTTGCAGAAATGGCAGTTAGTAAAGATTCCTCTGAGTGTCGTAGAGGTTCATCTGAATGTGGGTATGCAGCTGTATGCTGCAAGAGTGTTGAAGTGCAAACTGAATGTTCAGAGGGTCAGGGATGTCAGAGCGCAGCTTCACTGGCACAGACCTCCCCAAGTGTTAAAACTCGTTCAAAGCAAAAACCAGTAAAAGGCCAGACCAACCTGATTCCTCCACCAGTGCCTCCAAGAAATCGACCCTTAAAACCTGCTCTGAAAAAAACAGAAAGCATTAATTGGCTAGATCGCAGCAGCAGTATAGTTGACTTGAGGAATCTATTTGAAGAAGTCAAGCAGTCAAGAGAAATGTTACAGAAATCTCGAGAGTCACTAAACCGCTCTGGGGAAAGGCAGTCACTTAGTGTTTACAGCCCATTATCACGCACCAAAAGCGTAAGTAACATGCATCATGTGGGCTTATCAGCAGCACGGGATTCAGGACTGTCTCATTCTTCTTGGGAGCTTAGTGAGGCACGTGCTTCAACTCCTCACCTTCATCCACTTAGAACAGTGAGCAGTGTCAGCTTTACAGAGGATGGACAGTTTGGGATGCATTCACCAGGTCAGTCTATAAAACAAAGTCCAGCTGTAAGGAGATTAACAAGGAGGAGCCATCACCATGGTGTACACGAAGAATCTGTTTATCATACAGTACATACGTCATCCCATCAGTTGCCAACTCCACGTGTTATTAGACCTCAGCATACTGAAACGCTGCATACTCCTGCATTCCAAGACGATGTTTACTATACCATTCAAGGAGGAACAGGTGTGACACAGCACTTCCAGTTGGAAGAGCATCGACCCTGGTACAGGATTAAACCTCGTTCAAGGACACACTCAAAGAACTACTACCCAACATCGAGTTCAAGCAGTGAAGAAGGATTTGCTGAAGATGATTCCCTCTATGAACCTCTTCGGGAATCCCCAACTATGACGTCACCGGAGGCATACAATCCTCAATTTGCATATGAGG